TTTCAGGTGAATCTGGTGACCAGAATTCATCTTTGATTACTACGAAGTTCTCCTTTTGGCGACACAAAATATATCCTGGTCACCAGATTCATCGGAAAATTGTTCTTTGTAGTAACCCAAAATACATTCTGGTCACCAGATTCATCATAGAACTGTTTTTGTTATATTTAGTTAATCCGAACTAAACAGTTCCAATAGATATGACTTCGAAAATGCTATTTTTGGTAATGCGATCTTGGCAGAGAAAAAGAATGGTATTGACCTACAGAATTTATGATATATTTCATGAGAAAAAAAATCTCCAAACGGGGATTTTTTTTGGGATGCATTTGTGGTGACCAGTTTGAGACAAATGATAAACATCGAATGATCATGCTAAAACCTTTTATTCTAGTTGATACAGTGTAGTACAAGAAGCAAGATGCTGTTGAATTACAGTATACATATAGTGTATCTTATGAAAAATATCCCCAAATGAAAAATTCCCCAAAACTAAAATTCCCATTTGGTGACCAGAATTTATATAAATTGTTTTTTTTCCAAATGGGGATATGATTTGGGGGTTAATTCAGGGAACCATATTTTGGGGCAAATGATAACCTACCGTTTGTCATCGATGGCATATTTACTTATTTTTGAAGATTTCACACTTACTTTCTGAAAAAGAAAAGATCATTAAGAATGGCTAATGGTGAAATGAGCTGCATAATGAAGAATGCACGTTTTATCATAGTGCTCTTCAATATTGTACTTTTCGTAAGTGAATTTTTTTGTTTTTCGTCGGTTTTTACAATGTGAATTTCATTTATTTGTCAGTTGATTGGTGCGGCACTTCTTTTAGGTTGGATCTACCTCATGATTGATCCAAGATTTCGACAAATCAAAAACATTTTACCAATTAGTATTAGTAGGTTTTGCAAAAGAGAGAAAAAGAAATGATTATTTTATTGAACATTTGTTTTTAATTTAGATTCTAATGTTGAAAATAGTTTATCATATCTTGAACTAATGGCTATTTCTACGATTATCCTTGGTTTTCTTCTTTTAATCATTGGATGTTTCGGATGTTGTGGTGCAAAGAAACAAGTTAAATTGTTTCTTACATCCGTAAGTTATTTATTTAATTGATGATTTCATTTTTTTTAAATGTTTTTTTTTGTTTTTATTATCTAGTATGCAATCATTGTTGGAGTTATGATTCTTTTTGAAGTGACTATAACAATCTATTTCGTTATCTTTCCAGATAAATTTGAAGGACAATTGGTACCAAAATTACAAAGATTAATTCAAAACATATATGAAGGGCCATACCCGTTACTCAAAAATAGAATTCCGGAACCATCGTCGTTTTCAGTTGCTTGGGATTTAGTCATGTACAATGTTAGTGTTTATTTATTTTTGACACATAAAGTTAGATCGTTTTCTTTTCATTATAGTTGCAATGCTGTGGTGTCAAGAACAAGACTGAATTTCTCAATCGTAATGGTAAATGGGATCGGACGAATCCATGGTATAATAGTGCAATTATATCGCCTGAAGCTGCAAAGTTCACTTATCCGTTGACGTGCTGCCCATTGGATGGTGTTCTGAAGCCAAACTGGGAATTTTTGCCTCTCCGGTATTTCCCAACCCTTGCGCCATGTGCTATCCATGGAACTGGCACTTATGATGTGGTGAGTTTGTTTATTGTAGTACGCATGAAGGCATGGGCAGCACAAGCTCAACTTTTTACGGAAAGCAATAAGCTTTAGAATGAGACTCCTCTAAGCCGCAGTTCAAAGCTCGGTAGTAAAAGTTTTTCCTCGAAATTAATTTCTCGAAGACATAATATACGAGGTCTGCGTATTCATTTTTTTGGCAGCATACTTTGAGTTTGAGAGTACTTTAACACTTTTTATGGAGAACACAATATTCAGAACGAGTTAGCAAAACTCAAATCTCTTTTTTATTATCTTCCACTCATCAATCATTAAGTTTTCAAGTTAATACTTATGTAAAAAAATGGCTGCCATTTTAAGGGCTATTCCTTCTTGATGAAACTATAAACGTGAGAACTAATTAAAAATATTGCGATCTTTCCATTGAAACTGTTTATTTTAACTATTTATGTTAGCAGCCATGCTCTCTGATTAGGGAGGGCTGGTGTTGGCCAGCCCCTACAAAAATTTTAGTAGTTTCAGCGAAAACGTTCGCGCTCTTACCATTGTAGTATTTTTCTAACAGAAAACTCGGCCATTCTCTTTTATATGTTTTGCAGAGTTCTATTATTCTATTCAATAATTCTATTAATAGTCAAGTTTTTGTTCATTCTATTCTGTATTTCTGGCAAAAGGTTGATCATTTGCGTTATCTACTTCTGATAACAAGACCAACTCCTGTGATTAGCTGTATGATGATACTATTTTCTATCTAATGATATTCTATTGATACAATAGATCGTGACGATTTGAAGAAAAATCCTCAGAAAACCAGATACCTAAACAATCGATAACATTTTCAATTCAATCGGTTCATTAAAAATTGACATTTGTTCGCCATGGAAAGAAGAGAGAAAATGACCCCTCATGTTTTGAGTTAAAATCTGTCCCTCTGAAAACATATCATTTTTATATTATTGTTTTGTAGTTTGGACTTTCACATACACTGATATATATATATATATATATATATATCTTTCTTCCGAAATAGATTGTTATTTCTGCAAATTGACTCATATGTATACGATCAGGTGGGTAAGAACATATATGGATCCTTGAGGTGTATTTTTCTCTACCATGACGAAAAGTTTGAAAATTCTGATTCCATATTTCGCATCAGTTCCATTAACTATCTGATTTCACATAACACGCCTTTTTTCAAAACTTCTTCAGTTCAAATAGAAATCGAAATATGGTTATCCAATGCACATGTACTGCATGTATACCAAAACATGAGATAGCATTATTTCAAAAATAAAAAAACAATATATTTGTAAAATTTACTGGAAAACTGCGCCAATACTTGCTCACGAAGAAACCGATTCAACTGTTAAATAGCTTTTCAGTTGAGACTTTGTGCATGAGGTAGACCCAAGGAGGGAACAACTGATTTAAATCATCCGAGAATCAAAATTAAGTCATTTTAAATCACAGAGTACTGTTTCATTCTTGGATAGACTCCTGAAAGCTATGAAAAATCCCAAAAGAACAAGTGTCCATACGCCTCTTCGCTAGAAATATAGCCATTTTACTAGGATTTTAGCCTATAGGACTGTATACACTAAAAACTTGGATGACTTTTTCGTGTTCAAACTTTGCTTGCAGATAGGCCTACTTAGTAGTAGAATATCCTAAAAGACACAGCGCAAAATATTGTTGCCTTCATACGATATTACAAGTTTAAAAAGCACACATATCCCATAAAAGACTAAAAAGTCTCGAAGTTTTAGAAAAAACCTAATATCTCGTGAAGCAAATAATATTTTGAGTCGTGTTTTTCAGGATATTCTACTACTAAGTAGGCCTATCTGCAAGCAAAGTTTGAACTCGAAACAGTCATCCAAGTTTTTAGTGTATACAGTCCTATAGGTTAAAATCCTAGTAAAATGGCTATGTTTCTAGTGGAGAGGTGTATAGGCACTTGTCATTTTGGAATTTTTCATAGCTCACTGGAGTCTACCTCATGCACAAAGTCTCAACTGAAAAGCTATTTAACAGTTGAATCGGTTTCTTCGTGAGCAAGTATTGG